TACAGCGAAACACCTAAAGCGACAAGGGGGAAAAAAAAAAATAAGAAAAAAATTACACGATCGAAACACATAATACAGGTATGGCACTACACGTGCGTACTTTCTCTTCGACGACCGACGCGCGGTTGTAGGTATGTTGTGTGCACGTACGTATACACTGTTATAGGCTATGCGACTCGGTCATTCACATCGGCCCTGTTCCTCTATATATATATATATATATATATATATAACACGAATGAATGTGTACGAAATGCGAAACAGAATAACGATACGTCCGTGCGCGTATGCGACGATCGTCGTACAAATGGGTAATATCATTGTCGAATTGTATTTAATATCCGTCCGGAGGTATGTGTCCCGCGGTCGAACGTCCGAACGGTTGCCGTGGAAAAGACTGCTGGGCGGGACGGGAAACTTCGCGTGCAGCCCGTGGATACTCTGCTCTATTTGTCACGGTCGTAATAAAAACGAATGCGTCAGCGCTAGTTTCGATCAGTGAACGGCTCTCTTCCGAAGGTAATGAACTAATGACCAACAATATTTCGATCGCACGACACTATAGTGCGCGCGCGATAGGTGTAGTACCGTATTATATTATAATTAGTGGCCGGATTTACTTAACCCTTAAGAGACAATTTTTTTTACGAAAGAAAACAATTCGATGTTAATTAAACTAAACATCAAGGAAACAAATCAAATCGTCTCCAGATTATAAATGAATAAACCGAATATGCATTGAAACTAACAAAATGGCCGAACGAAACAAATTATATACTCGAAAAATATTGTCAAGGATCATAGTTGAATCGATGATTGGAAAAACGTTACGAGTCACATATTTTACGTCCGCGATTATCGATTCGATTGTAGTTCTCGTGATGATAAACTGAACATTTTTTTCGTTTTGTATATTTATTAGATATCCGTTTATTATTTATTTCCGGTTCCATAGAAAATATTCACATTTGATAGAACAATATTACGCGTATATTTTTAATTTTCATATAAAAAATAATATAAGTCAGGAGACCTTGTTCGTTTACTGTCCCGGGGTCCTATCCTATCTAGCTACGCCATTAATACGCTGTACTTGTACGTTTTCGCATTTTCAGTCGATAAAGCGAACGCAAAATGAAAAAAAAAAAAAAAAACGTTTACGTTATGTGGTTCTCGCACGTTCTTTATCGATCGCGACAGTTGTTTAATTAACCACAATATACGATTTATTACTTTCGAATTTATAATATATCGTACCTATAACATAATAATATAATATACGGTTTTTTTTTTTTTTTTGTATGCGTGTTTTTCGTTGCACCGCTCACTGCAGTTGTTCTATCGGCGAGACAGACCAATCTTTTACGGCCACTGAATTCGACGTTACGTAACGATTACCATTAGCTGCAGCCTACGAAATGATTAATGTGAAATGGTTTAGACTGATTTTTTTTTTCCACGCGACAATCGCGCGCGCGTGTAAACATTCCGTGTGGTATGTTTATACTTCAATATTCGTTCAACGAGCGCGTCGTCTGACCACCGCGTGACACCCGATATGATGTTGGCCGATTAACCGATTTCCGTTGGACCGGCCGAACGAAGTGATATTTAAACGCGATACCGGTGTACAATCGATTCTGAACTTTTGCGATCGTACGTGTACACCGCGTGCGTTCGAGTCCGCATTGCCCCGATCGTTTCGTTGCTTTTCCTTTCCGACGGGGTTACCAAATTACGATTTACCATGATTACACCTACACGGTTTGTCGAGACAGTGCCCAATAGCACCCTCTGAAGTACAGGTCTGCGCACGCCTATGTATACTATGCTACATCGTGCTAAAACCGTGCTAACACCCGCGGCTGCATACGATCTGTTAATCCTATCCTATTTGCCGTTAATCACTTTCCGACGTTTCAACGTGTGAGCACGATGGAGTAGTACGCAAACGTGAGATGCACACGAGTGCACTACCTACGCGTGAACACGCAGCGCATTTCGAGCATCGTATTATTGGAACGCGCGTGTTTGTCGAGCTTTGACGGTATACTTTCGCCAGGTAATTACTACTACGACTCGCACTTCGCGAACTCATTAATGGTACTCGATCTGAAACAATAACGTGAATTTATACGTACGCATACATTATTGCGAAACACGCTGCGCTATTAAACGGTAGTTGCCAATCGCACTAATTTCTGAAACCGAAACAACCGTTATCCAACCATATTATATTTGAATTGTTTTCCTTTCACGTTATCGTTGTAACATGTCACCGTGCTGAGAAAAACGAACGACGCGTAATCATATCGGTGTACGTTGTACGCAATATTTGTGTTCGTTGACAATTGATTTTAATCATTTGAATAGATGTTATACCCATTTTTCACTTAATATATATATATATATATATATACGTATACGTGCGTTCTATCCATCGAATCCATAATCCATTACATCTGTCGAACACCATAGCACATAACATACCAGCGTGTTATTCAAATCCAAATCGAACACGTCTTCTCAATCCAAATACTTCGTGTTTATAACTCGTAAATCGCTTATGTTCATGTACATATCGTGTACTTTTTAATGAAAAAAAAAAAAAAAAAGACGGAGACAGAAACGCGCGCGGAACGGTCCACGTCCGTCTCGGCGGCGGTCGTATTGCGTTTTTCGCGTGACCGACCCGTCCGGCGAAGACAACAGCCGCGCGGCGACCGTCGCGCACGGAAACATTTCTAACGATCTCACGGCGGTCGGTCGAATCCGTCTGCAACGTCGACACGATGACGGCGGATTTAGAACGTCACCGTCCGCGACCGCTTCGAACCCGTAACACGAGAGAAGATACGTGTCCGCGCGCCCGGACCGTCGCGTACCGTTACTCTTGGGGGAAAAAAAAAACGATTTTCAGCAAAAGAGGTCGGACGGATCGTTTTCCGAACGACGCAGCTTTTGTTGGTCGCAAGAACGCGGCGAGATAAAACGTAAAAAAATGTAAAAAAAAAAAAAAAAACATCGTGTCCGTCAAGTCACGCCTCATACGGGCGCAGACGGGAACCACCTAACCGGAGGACGACGTTAAGACCTTAAACCGAACGGAAAGAATGTCAAAAGATCGATATCGCGTTCAAACATACGTGTGCCCACCTCGAAGGCTTGTACGGTTGTCACGCCCAAAAAAAAAAAAAAAACGCATCTCGTTTTTTATCTAATTTTTTTTTACGCGGTACGCGTACAGCCCTGAACGCAGATCTACGGAACGCGATAAACGCGTCGTATTATCGTTGACGCGTTCGAAAGGTGCGCAATTCAAACGCACGGGAAAGCGTGTACGGCTCATCTGCATAACACTGTTATGGGTTAGGTCGATCACGAGACCTAACCCGTGGTCTTCTTGTGCCGCAACAGCAGTGGTGCGCCGACGTACACGAACGCGTGTGTGCACGAGGATATTGTGCACTATTGTTTCCGGTTTTTTTTCTCTCTCTCTCTCTCTCTCTCTCTCTCTCTCTATCGTTGTTTCCGTTATTTCCGACCAGATGCCCGAGACCGTGCGCGCTCGCGTCGCGCGTGCACTACGGGGGCCCGTTTGTAGCCGTGCGCGCCCCGATCCTGTGTACGTCGGTCGTCCGGAGGAATGCGCTCCGCGAACGCGTGTTGTCGATAAAACGGAGTCGCAGTCCACCTTGTGCAGTTGCCCAGGGCCCCGCGCCTTAAATTACGATTAAAAGGCCCCGTGGTTCTGATTTAACTAAACCGTTTCATCAACATAAACCATAATTTACCGACATTTATTTGGCCCAGGGCCTCGCAAACTCTAGCACCGGCACTGCGCCCGGTCGCCCCGTACGCGATCGTGGCCGCTATTAGAATCCTGCGCGGCCCACTCCGTTGTACTCTGGGCGCGCGCACGAACCGCAGACGCATCCGACTCGTGAGTCGTCGGCATGCGTTCGGGGACAACGAATCCACGCGGTACAAGTCGGCAGTGCCGTATCGCTGTTCCGTACACGCGTGTAACGTTGTGCGCGATCGTCAACGGGTATAATTTATATCTTACCGATTCCCCCCCAACAGAGTGGTCGTCCCGTACCGTTTATTTACGGCGGTCGGCAAATCGTTTTTCGCTCGGTTAAAATATGAATACAGTTTCAAAGAACACTCGAAAAGTAAAGGAAAAAGCAATTCTTATTGTTTCGAGAAACGTGCGCAATCTTTAATTACGCAGGTGCGGCATAATAACGTGACGCGTTACCAGATGCCAGACACGCGTATAGGTACCTCGGGTAGTAATCTTTTGTGTTGTGCGTACGGTCCAACACACGTACCGTGAACTGTATTGAGTTGCCTATCCTTGACATTTTAAGGTGTACCGCTGTAACAGTACTTACTAATTATTCGTGTCGACGGTATTTTTTGAAGGTCGTTTGAAATTATAACATTCAGTTTTATTGACTTTAATTCACGTGTGTTATATATGTATTAACGATTCAAGAAAATATTAATAACATAACTTCTAAGAACAATCGATTCAGATGATAATATATACCTATTTGAGTAATTGAATGCTCGATGTAATGAAAATAATACAGGTAATAGATACCTATGAGTGTTTTGTAGGCACGCCTCGCCGTCCGCACTGACATATAATTAACCAAATAATTATTCTACTAAACGTGATAGAAATAATAATAAACTTTATTTAAATTCGAGAAGTTCGTTCAAATGAATAACTATAATTATATCTTAGCATAGTATTAAAACCTTAAAAGTACTTTCATATAGTCTCTACAACGAAATAATTATGTACGTAAACAATTGTTCGGATAGGTAAATAATGGTTTATTATACTGCGTCAGCGAGGGAAAATCCTTCTCTTTTTTTTTTTTTTTTTGTTTAACTGTTCGTGTTATAATTGCATTTCGGTTGTAAAATGATACATTTTTTCTTGATAATTCCTTCATTGATAATAATATTGCATTTGTTTTCAGGTCTGTGGGCTGTTATCAATACGGCCGATGTATGTCTACGTGGAAGAATCGAAATGCAGGAAAGCGCTCAGTGGGAGACGTTATTTAAGACTAATGTTTTTGGAACGCTCAAAACCGCCAGAACATTTTATCCATTATTACTGAGCCAAAAAGGTAAACATCTTACGCGATACTTATACTCTTACTCTCATTTTAGAAATAAATATTGTTTGGGTGAAATTGTGTAAGAAATATCTGTGTCTTGTAAACAAATTGAAGTTGGCCGTGCTATTTTAAAACGGACCACAGTTTTTAAAAAGTTATTATAGCCCGGTGAAATTAAATATCATGCTCTGCAAAATTAATTCGCAACATTCTCTATACACTGAATACAATCATAACAGATATTTATGATTTTTTTTGCATTTCCGAGTGCTTTATCGGCTTCTGTCATAAACTCAACGTTCTTACATAGGCGATTTTCGCAAATCGTACACAGTACAGACTGTTCAAAACGAGTTTATTGTAATTTTTTTAGGCCGCACGAGTTGCGTTCCAAACTCTTATCACCTGATAATTCCAAAGGCGTATGTCTAGCACAGTTTAAACTTTCAGGTGAATGATTGAAGTCGTCGAATATTTATTTAAACCCTCGCCACAAAGAAACAATATGAAAAAGCCGTCGATATCGGTTAGGTGTACCAATTTTGTACGTGTATATGATACGAATATGTGAAGTATCTGTGACGCAAATGTTATACGCGTTATTCGAAAATCACTGAATACTCGGAGGGGTTGACGGGCGTAGTGGAAGAAACATCATAGTTTTTTTTTAATCTTCTTAAACTTCTTATGCGTTTTGCGATCATTGTGAACACTGTACGTCACATAACATGTTGTAAACGCGCTGTTTTCTTGCAGGCCGTTTCATCAACTTCGGCACGTCCGCGGTGCACCCCCGCCGACAGGGCCTGACGGCTTTCGACTCGGCGCGGCACGCGGTGGTCGGCGCCAGCACGTCCCTGCGGGAGGACTTCAAGGACTTGGGGGTGCACGTGATCGTGGTGAACACCGACCACATCCAGCCGGAGAGCCTGTTCGAGCCGGTCAGGTCGTCGTCCGCGGGCAAGTCGCAGCAGACACTCAACGACAAGTGGTTCGGGCCCAATGCGACGTTGCCCGAGTACGCGGTGCACACGATGCTGGACACGTTGCTCGAGCCCGACCCGAAGCCGGTGTACGCGTTCGAGAAACCGTCGCGGTTCACCTGCAACGTTTTCGCGAAGAAAATCCTGAACCCCGAACGCTACGTGGGCTACGAGAACGTCTGAAACGTCACGGGTCCAGGAAGGAAATAAAAAAATAAATAAATAAATAAACTAAACAAACATCAGCCGGCCGCCAGAGTTTCCAAATATCCGTTTACGGTTTGAACCGGCATTATTCGTACACATTCATATGTGCATAAATAATATTATTATTGTATAATTATTACATTTCGTCATTAATGCTATCACGTAATGCGTGTAACGTTCCCGTTGTCCAAAGAACATATGATATTATTATTATTATTATTATTATTATTATTATTATCATTAATACGATTCCGTGCTCAATATACAACGTGTTTCATTGTAACAGTGTAGTCTTATTTGTCGTATGAACATACGTCGTGTACAAATTACGGATGTGAACGTTATTTCGTATAATTTTAATGCTGCCGTGGTCTTTACCGGCACACATCATTCTACTCGTTGTTAGGTACCCCGACCGTTATTAACACGTGTTTATTAATAACGTTATTGTTACACAACACGGTTAAATCGGAATACATTACAAAGCTGTTGGACAAAGTAAAGTACGATGATGTTACAATTATTGTAAATGTGACTGTTCGTAAGGCATAGCGGGTGTCCGCCGGCAAAGTAGTCCAATGCCAATCCATAGGGCGGGGATGGCGAACCTTTTTTGGTTCAAGTGCCAAATTTTCCAATTAAGGATTTGAAAATCATTCACGTGCCCAAAGAAAATTATATTTTCTAAGAATAAAAATAAAATTACAGATTTATTACATTATATTTATTACATTTTAGTCAATCCTAGTGAAACGCAAGCAGCATTCGTTTCATTGATCAAACAATGTATTTCCTTTGATTCAATTTAATTCGTTATGGCTTTCATAAACATAAGTTGAAGAAAAATATGAAACCATAAGGAATATTGTCATTTTTAAAATACATAAAATATAAGTAATGATATAAATAAAATAAAAAATAATAAAAAAATATAATTTGTTTCTTTGAATTTTTTTATAACCAACATTTTATAAATAGTATAATTTTGTTTTTGTACAGTTTTTAATAATTTCAATTTTTCGCTCGTGCCATTAAAATTTGATCAACGTGCCACCTTTGGCGCGTGTGCCATAGGTTCGCCATCCCTGCCATAGGATATAACAGGCCGAACCGTCTCTGCGCTATAGATACATCTAAGGTGTTCCGATTAATATTGATAGCCCTTTTATGGGACTCCGAGGGCTCGACTATCTTGTAAAATTTATATTTATCGAACGAGAAACACGATTCAGTGTGTTTATTACTCTTAACGTAAAATATAGTAGTTAAATATATTTATGTGTACACCTGATTAGTGGACCACAACTCTGAATAAATAATGATCCAATTGGCAGGCGGAGTTGACGAATCTTCCGGCTGCACAATATCGTATTCAAATTTGAACCGATTGAAAATCAGCTGATTAAACGGAAGTGTTCGGCTGACACAAACTAATCCGTAGCATAATATTCGATACGTTATCGTCTTGCTCGTTTAATAGCCTTCGAATGGATATCCATTATCAACTAAGCAGTGTTGTATACCTCGACAAATATTATGTATGACGAATAATCTATCAAAATAGTTCATCAATCGTGCTGTCATCGTTCAGAAAATATCGATCACTTTTATTTAATATAATAATAAAAAAATAATATAAAATCAATAAATGGTTGATAATAGTAAATTAATACGTATAGCTTATACATAGAAATTAATAAATAAATGCTTAGTTTGGAATATTGTTATATTTGTAATGGGCGACCGGTTTCGAATTAAAAATTCATCATAAAGTGCATAAAAAATCAATAAAATTGTGACTCAAACTTTATCTATTTATTTTTATTTATTTATTTATTTATATATTCACTTTTATTTGTATTTAATAAGTTGATACGATAATATAATTTAGTAATAATAACATTCTTAAGCAATATCAAACATAGTTATATACAAACTAAAAAGGGTAAAATAAAAATTTATATTAAACAATATAAAATATAACATGATACATAATTATATCAATTAATATGTAAAACTATATTAATAAAGACAGGATTTTTAAAATAAATGAAAGCGGTAGAACAGAAAGGAATAATTTTATAGGTATTTACGATGAACATAATTCTAGATACTGGAGTGTTGGTAGCATAATTTGTTGGTTGAGTTTTTCAATAAAAAATATTATTCGATCTTGACATAGTTGCATTTTAAATTATCTAGACCATGGTAAAGTATTTATACGATTCTATCGGATACTCGTGCATCCGAAACGAATTTCAGCACTTAGAAATAATGTACAGTATTTATACTATTGAAATACTAATACTTATATTGAAAACTCCGGTGAAAGATGAACAGCAAAAAACTATATAAATTTTTGGTCGTCTCGACATTATTTGACTGCGAATACGTTGCCGTGAAATATGGAACGTTTAAATTAATAGCGGTTGATAATATTTGCAATTGTTTTCCTTTTTTCATTCCTTTCGGACATCGGGTTAATTATTTTAAACACGATAATTAACCATAGTAACAGTCTCGTAAATAAGCTCGGACAACAATAAATATCATAAACGTTGTGATCGTGTTGTTTATCGCGTCCTCGCTGTCACTATCATACTTTCTCGATTCGAAACCTTCGCCCGTTAATTTCAATCGGACTTCCTCGTCGCATTCGGCGGGATCGAAGATCGAAGGGGAACACTGTATGTGTACACAGTGTACAGTACGCGTACGTGCTGCAAAATCAGACACCATACATATTGTAACAGTGAAATAATATTGTAAGAAACCGTGTGTTTAAATCTCTACATACGACGTCTTACGATGTGGCTTGTGCGTACTCGAAAATCGATTAGGTTCTGACAGTAATACGCCGTCAAGTGTATATTCAGACACCCGATACGTGCGCGTATCATTTTATGCGCTCGCTCGTATAGAAATCGTGGCGCAACTGGAGCGGGTTCGGGTGTTATGACCCCCTCGGAATATTTAGTTAACTCAATCTCACCTAATCCTCTCCATCAAATCCAACCGAATTTACGTTACCTCCTCAAAAAAAAAAAAAAAAAAAAAATATAAACCCGATCACGCCACTCCCCGTGACCATTAAAAACGTAGTAAATTGCTCAATATCAATGTTCTACGGCCATACGTCCACCAGTGTTACAACTGAACGCGATTGTTTTCTTAATCTATTCGAACCCAGTGCGTTGATTAATTTCTCTTTCGTATCTTATCGTACGTCGTACATAGATGAACCACGACTGCGTTCCGACGGGTCCTCGGTTTTCATTTTCGCAGTAATATTTCAACAAAGTGCCCGTACACGAGCGTATAGTCTCAAGCGCGTTGCAAACAAATAATGGCCATTAAATTTGTCTGCGTCGTGGTCGTAATCAATAACGTCAGCATCTCCGTTGCGTTATAACCATATTAACGATTTTGTTAGTTTTCGTTCACGTTACACCGAACCGCAGAAGCGGCTTTGTCATTACACGTCGGACACCGATGTACCAAGTACACGGTTAAATGTCCTATTTTCTACCGTATAATCATGGACGTGACTAGATCCCAAATATTGGGGGTGCTGAAGTTGCTGAAAATTAAAGAAAATTAAATGAAATGGTGTTTAACTGTAATTACTATTAATCATATAGATCTGGAGAAAAAAGGAGTGCTACATTTGAACTCAGTGGTGCTAAAACCTCTATTGCGCCCCCCTAGTTGCGCATGTGCGTATAATCCGCATTGACGTAGAACCCGAAGAACATTAATCGTGATCGACCGCGATAAAATCAGATGCTTACGAGAGATATTACGCGCGGTCGTAATAACGGATATGTGACTGCAAATAGTTATCGTACTGTCATGTCGGTGGACGGTGGTCTTCAGTTTACTACGGAAATGTCCGTACTATTAGATCACCGATGATTGCGTGCAGTCGTCGAATCTAAGCCTAAACGATTTTCTCGTTTCCTATATCAGATATTATTTTAAATGTTGTTTTTTTTTTTTTTTTAATCCACGAAAACCTGACACGTCCGTACGATAAACCATGCGAAAACAGTGGTTTTTGGCTAGAACGTTTTTATCTCGTTTTAAAAATCGGTGTTGGTTAAAAATTGAAAAATCCGCTTTTTTCGATGTTCATTCGTCCCTGACGTGTACAATAAAATTCTCGGTCCGTTGACCGTCAACAAAAACCGCGGTATAGTAATAATCGACGAAGAGCTTAAACGAACGCTGAAAGTTGCGACGATGAAAAACGTTTTGAAGTACGTTCGAGCTGAGGAAGTGAGAAATAAAATAAAACGACGTGATTCCGATGGATTTCGGATACGTGAGCGTCCGTTGAAAACAACATTTTCTAGAACGCGTAAAACGTTTGCGGTGAAAATAAAAGTCGAACGCGTACCGGGGAAGGAGATGCGCGAACGAAAAGTACCCGTCCAAACGTCGTCGACATTGGACAACAACACCGTTTTGATAACGGCGGCGTGACGTGCCGCCGTAGTGATGTGTTTGCGGATGGATAACGAAATGAAAAAAAAAAAAAAAAAAAAAACTTTAACCACGAACGGAACGCGTTTTATAAAAAAAAATTTCATCCCCCGGCAACAAAAAAAATGTGGAACGCTTCACGATTTTGCGTGTCATCCTTGCGCAGGGGCCATGCTAATCTTCTCTGTATCGTTCCAATTTTAGTATATGTACTGCCGAAGCAAGTACATTTGCCTTGATGTCGACGACTGTATATATACAGCGCAATGTTTGTGCGACCGTCACAAGCGAGAGCCGTGCCGTCGGCAACTCTGAATGTAACGCGTGAGGTGTACATGAGATGACGAAACGCTAGATGGCGCTAAAGTTATCGCCCGACCGACCGTTTGTAATCCCACACTCGTCACGGCGCGTACGTCTACTGCCGCGCACCCATACTGTTTACCCGTCCCGATGTTCTAGCCTTGTCACAGACAGTATTTAAAAACATTTCAACAGCGTAAATATTAGTTCCCTCGGCAAGAATGTCTAATAATTCGTTGGTTACCAGAAAACGGAAATAATCGATTTGCTTGTCTCCGTTTGGTGAACACTTAGGCCCAGGTGTAACTGTAAATTCAAAATGTTCTGTACTTGGTGCGTCAGTGGACCAGTTAAAATCTGTACAACTATACATTTCAGATAAAACCTCACCGACTTCGTTCCCTCCAGAACCAACAAAATCGTTGATGACAGTATTTTGTAAATCGTCACCTTCATGTTCTTCATCATCACCAGGGTTCGGAAGTTATAGGAGTT